TGCTACTATCCAATACGAAGATCCGTTGAATCCTGAGCGGTCACGGTTCATCGAGGATCGTCCGCCACTTTAGGAGAATCTACTCTGGGTATCTGAGTCGACTCCAGGGAGAGAGAATCCGGTAGAACTGTATGCTTTTTGGAGTTACGGATAAGGGAAACGAAGGGACACGATGGCAAGGAGAAGGAAGAGGGAATCGAGGCGGAAGCAGCCGATGCTCTTATCTGTCTACGATACGTCGTAACGATTACTCGAGGTTGGTCCTGGCGTATATATAGATATCGCAGAACGACAGAGGGTTTACTATCCTCGCGTTTCGAATCCTGGGGTCAGGACACGTTGCTAAGTCGGTGGAATTTTGTTTCCGCTAGAGTTGCTCCCTGACGAGCCGCCGAATGAAACCATCTCTTAATTAGCTCTTAGGCGAATGGTAATTCGTGTTTGGATATAAGCCCAAGTGCAAACTTCTCGCTACGCTATTTTAAACGGTTACGCAAACTTTGAATCCTAGCTGCATCTCAATGAGATCGCTGCGGGCGGAGACTCCGCTTTCTCTCTCTCCCTCCCTCTCTCTCTCTCTCTCTCCCCCTTCTGTCTACTATTATGTGAAAGTTCAAACTCAAAATAATTCGAACAAGTCCGAATAATCTTAAACAATGTCAACGATAACTGTTAACAAGCAGCTATTGTATTATGATTATAGCGACGGTATTATTAATAAAAGCAATATTAAGTAATCAATCGAATCAAATTGAAAAGATAAGATTAAAAAGATCACAATCGTACTAAATTTTCAAAATGATTAAATTATTATTCGGCGTTATGTTTTATTGATAAAATTTTATAAAAATTATGTAATTTCTTTAGATCAATTATATGCGAGCTCAGACCTATGAATGAAAACAGTAATAACAAAAATAATTATCAAAGTATCAATAGTTTATGAATTATAGTAATTCGTAAGCAAGCGATTTCAAATTCCAGTGCTTCGGCGAATTAAGCTTTACGGCTGGGATAACCTCTCGCATTTGCCCTACTTGCAACCGATTAATTAAACGCGACACGGTTCATGGTAGAGCCAATTTACGCAATTGCCACTTTTTGGAGCGCGGCGCGGTTCATCGCCGAGCGACGTGTGTCTGTAATTTGATCCGTCGACAATACGGGCAAGCTATTTCGCCCTATCAACCCGGTCGAACTATCGCAAAATACTCAATTGCAATTTAAATGATGCGTATGTTTATAATTAACTGATCCGCACCGGTAGAGTGAACGCCGGAGCGTCCCCGGGATATGAATTAGCAAGTGGACAATAGCTAATTCACGTTTCCTTCGAGTTCGAGTACAGGCATGCCGGCGTCTTCGGCGTGGAGAAACCCTTGGTGGAGGGCGACGATGATTCGTGCTCGTGGTCGGGCGCCGACGAGCAAGGAACCGACGCGCAGAGAAATGTAGCAGAGACAGCGGCGGCGGCGTCAGGAGGTGGGAATAGGGATTCCATTATTTAACCGAGGTAGTTTAGGCGAGTATTAGGGGGTTGAGTTTATGACACCCCTCGGCTGTCCGGATTGCCTATTAATACGATATGAGCCCCGCGCTCTACGGATGCGCGCGCCATCGCATTCGCATTTCCTAGCCAAGCTTGTGTCGCTCGATTTTTTGCTGCTACGTTTTTTAGGGTTGTTTCTTTTTTTAGAATGCGCAATGTAGGCGAATTGCGAGTGTTCGTAGTTTCGCGCGCGTCAAACCGATGAAGTCCTGCTATGAAATCCTTGATGATTATGATTTCGCTTGAATATCGCACCCCCTTCCCATTACCCCTTCGTTATTCATAGAACAAAGCCGGCTCTCGATTAACTCGGCCTTTTGTGGCGAGTTTTAAACTTGTATCGAATCGCTGGTTTCGCGCATCATTATCCGACGTAATCTTGCGGCTTGGCGCGATTATTATAGTAGTTTGATTGTACTTCATTAAGTTATCGTGTCTTTAGAATCAAACATTCGATATGTTCTTATTTAGCACTGTAATTGAGATACTATTTTTTAATTTCCAATATCTCATTTAGTTTCGATAAATGAAAAAAAACTTAAAATGTAATCTCCAAAATTTATTTTAAAAACTACGTAATATGCACTAAAATACATGCAATGACTTTGAAGATAAATTTCATCTGCGAACAACAATTTAAATTACGAGCTTAAGGAGGTTCTCGCGTTTGATGAAAAATAAGACAAGTCTATAACATACATGTAATGCAAAAGTTAATAATATCAATAATATCTAGAAAAAATTTCATTGATTTTTACCGTACACACACACACACACACACCATTTGGAAGATATTTAATTCTAAATTTATAGAATTTTACATTACAAGTTGAAGGTATAACCTTATTCTGTAGTTATTCTCTTTTAAATTGAAACACTTGCGTATAAGACAGCAATTTAAAAATCGTTATAATCATAAAGTAAACACTTAAGTTTGTTCTTGTAAAGTTTCATTTAAACTGACCGTACAGTTTACAAGCAATTTATATTCTTCAATGAAAAAAGCAAGAATATATGTCAAATGGACGATACGTATACATTAAATGAGCATCTTACAACTTTTATTTTGTCATTTTGAAAATATTTAGTAACATATGAAATTAACAATAACTATGTATAATAAGGCATAAGATATTGTTAATAATTTTTATTCCATTATTTTAATTATTTTACATATTATTGTGAATAAACTGTCTATTGACTAAGAAGTAGTACGAGAACCTCCTTTTATATATATATATATATATATATATAAGAAATAGACATATGTATTGCCAAGATAAATATATCGTATGGGGATACATTGCCAAGTTTAAAGTTAACTATAGCATTCCGTTAATAAGAGGCTATATCGACGGCTGCCTTTACGTTTCGGCCACCGTATCCCTCATGTTATTTCAAGCAGAACGGTGCGGTGGTCGGAACTGACTGCGACCACTTGTCCGATACGGACTCCAGCCTGCGTGCGTACAGCTTCCCTTCGGCGGGTCGCTCGTCGATGGTTTTCTAATTTGGCGAGCAAACACTCGCTTTACGGCAGGCAGGCATCGATGGCGAATAGTTTGGCGAAGCGCAATCCGTAGCGGGGTCCCGCCGCGGGGGTCCAGGCGAAAGCGTTCTAAGTAGCGGCAAATAACGATCATCCTCTTCCGCTCTCCCCTCCGTCTCTTTTCTCGCTGATTTACACGCATTACACCGACGCGACGCGACGCGACGAGACACCGTACCGTCCGTACCCCAGGGCACGTGCGTATACGATGCGCGTAAACGATCGCTGCACGGTCCCCCGTGCGTTGCATTGGGTAGCTCTTGCTCTTCTCCCTCTGCCCTTTCGGGAGTTGCGCGCCCTACGCCGCCCGGGTTGCAACGGCAACCACGAATGACGGTAGCCTCCGATGGCGCGGTGTGGCTCTTGTCGACGTGTCTCGTGTCGGTGTGCGACGACGCGCGTGTATCGGGCCCCCGCTGCACGCCGGCTAACAGAAGGCAGATCTCTCCCGGGAGACTCGACGCTTGTTTGCGCTGCTTATCATCAGTTCCCATTAATATTAAACCGCATTCAACGAACGAAGCCCGCGCCCGGCCACCCCACGGCGGCCGCCCCGATGTGTACATAGGTATAGAGGCGCGTCGTATACCGGGTGTCTCACGTTTTCCACATTTCCTTGCGTCTATATATTTTCTACATTGATAGAAAATCGAGTTTTCTCTAGCGAAAAGATTTTATTTCGCTAAGAAACACTAAGACACGCTAATATAATACTTTCAATGGTCTTGTAACTTTCAGCTTTGAATACGAACAGTTTTGTAATCTTTGAATCAAAATTGAATCTTATTAAAATAAAATTTGTTTAAAATTTTAGACGGATGATGAATTTTCTTTATCTATAATAATAATTAAGATTGTAATAGCATTTTGTTAACTTATTTCAAATTAAATCCAAGGATCCATAGATGAAAGAAAATGCAGATAGTCCGGAGTACCCCGTATACCCGATATGCGCTTCTATCGAACGCACACATATGCACAAATACACATACACTCTTTGCTCGCGTATACACACGCAGTGGTTACTCGAGCATGAGACCGCTACGTACGCCGGTATAGGAGAGCTCGTACGTATACGTGTAAGCGCAAATCGGCGTTTCACGCAGACACGGTCGATTGTGTTGCGCGGGATGCGTACCGAGATGTATATATATTTACGTGCATATGTGTGTATGTCGATTCATAGTGTGTGCGTGCCACCCGTCGGCGGTTTTACCGTCGGCACTGAGTCGCGGGGGGAGAGTGCTCAATTTTCACCCTTTGTTTAATCGCCGGCTACGGAGTCGACTACATTAATTTAATACCCACGCGTGCGCGCCAGCGTGCACTCAATTCTCTAAAAGGGAAAGATTTCGGAGCGAGGGCCGACTCCCGCATCTTATGATCAACGAGCGGCGCGTGTGAATGGAGCGAACGGGAAGGTATAAATACCTGTCGGTCTTTTACAAGAAAACTTCTTTGTGACACCTGCGCGAATTAGAATCGATTGGTCGAACATGACAAAGTATTGAGATTACATGTAAACGTCAAGTATTGTCAACCTCTAGTAAATCAAAAACTGCATATCCAGTGAAATTTATATATTTCCAGTCAGTGTCGCTCGTACACAATAATGAATCTTTCTGGCGTGATTTTTTATTACTTTCCAACTTTCATTTTCTTGAAATTGATTAACGTTTTAATGTTAGATTTTCCCATTTGTAATCTCGAAAAATACTAGCTAAATCTAAAAGTGACTCACTGTGGCTGATACTGACTGGCTAACATATCAAGGATCGGTTTTTGAATTATTATTAGTAATGTTTGCGATATGGTGCTTTGTGATCACGGTGAGCGTCCTTATATTTTCGGGATAATTAATTGTAATCTTAAAGTTTTTTGATAAATTAGTTTTGCATATTTTCTATTTCGATATTTTCAATATTCCTTTCTCTTTTCTTTTTCTTTTATTCTTATTTGAGTTTAATTTCTGGCATTTAAATTCTCGATGTAGGGGAGCTCACCATGACAAGATAACTTTTATTCATAGTTTATATATGTTAGTTTGTGTTGTCTCTGAAGAAGGCTCAAAAGTGAGCCGAAACATGTAACGCGTTTAGTAGAATAAAGAAGTTTTACGCTTTATGGGTGTATTATTTGCGTGACGTCTTCTGCGCCTGATTCCTATTGCCCTTATTCTTTTCAATTTCTTTTGATTTATAAAGAATTTTTGTTAGTTTGATTTGTTATACGGATTTATATATTTCTACGTGAATATGCGTAAATATTGCATATTTCGTTAATATTGCAATATGCGATTTACCAGCCAGAAAAGCAAAATTTTTTACGAAATTCTCTTCTCAAGTACAAAGATTCATGCATAATACGATGAACGTGAGATGGATATTTCCATATTTAAGCAACGAAAATCTAAGAGAATATCTATAGCTCAATACACACATTTTTCACAAGTACTGTCTATGTGTGTATACGTCTTGGGATTAAATATTACATTTTCTTAAATATATTACGATATAAAGTCTTAAAGAAAGAAGAAAAGGGAAGGCATCCGAAAATTATAAATTGTAAATTTTGACAATTCTAAAAATAATGGGAAGTAATTCTTTTTCAGAGATACGAACCGTATAATCCTAACTGGTGTTAAAAGTTCAAGTTCTATTCCAAAATCCCAGCGATTTCAGGTACAAGATGGCGCAGCTGTTAAAAGCGCGGTGTATTCTGTGAATCCTACTTTCCCGTTACAGAGAAAGATCGAGTCGATCGCGTTTAAAATAAGACTAGTCATCTGCCCGGAGGTCTCCACCGGGTACACGTAATAGAAGCCTGGGAGGGTAAAACGTCTCGCTCGTCAGCAACACAGTGGGCGGGCAGATCTGCGATCGCTTAGAGGCCAAAGGACGATTCAATTAGTATCAACCAGAGCAATCCTGTACTTCAACCGGTCCCATTGACCGTCCTCTCGACCCATACCGTGTAACTGTACGCGATCGATCTGCTGGAATCTCTTCCTACGATTAAAGCGCCCCTAAGTTTGTTTCTATACGAGAGATGAAGTATATCACCGAAAATTCTGTTCCATAAAATTGCGTTTAATAAATTTTATTGAACGATATTTTTATGAGAGGCTCGCGAAATTTATCGCACCGCTAATAATTACGCGGTAATAACGGCGAATTGATCACCCACCGACCATAATAGTAGGTAAAAAACACGATATAAATAGAGACCGTTCTTTTGTGTGGCAATAATGCTCGCCGATGTAAATTTTTCAACGATATTTATGTTTTCATTCTCGCGAACAATTTGTGCTCTTTCGTTCATTGCTCATTATTTGAATATTTCATAGACGTTTTATATTTTATACTGGTGAACGTTTTGAAATGCGCAGTCATACTGATTAGAAAATAAATGCGGGGATTGTTACATATTATCCGCGCTATTGTACTTTCATTCGTATGTTTTTAATTTACTTGTGTACGATATTTTACCTTGTTACATCAAATTTTAATTTGAGATTGATTTTCTAAATACCGATTCTAAATATCTATCCTTAACCGTATTGTTAGTTTAAATAAATCTTTATAGTTTTTTAAAACTTAATCTATAGTAGATGAGATCTGAAATGTCGACAACAATGTATATTCATCACAAATAATTACACTCTATTATTATTTGTATCATAAGTTATGTATCACTTATCTCGCACATACGAAATAAAAAATCAGGAGGAGAATTTTTATTGAGAAATACTCTTTCGTCACTTCGTCACAAATATGTCAGCACGAACTGAATTCTCAAGAGACATTCCTAAGTGATCTGGCAAAACGATAATATATCCATATAGATTTCCATAAATTTCCAAAAGAGAGGACCAGAATATCTGCTCGATCGATTTCAGGGATGATCGTTGGCCTCCTTACTGGCCGCATCTCAACGCGCACGGACGGGGTGACATCTCATTAGGGAGACAAATTGCTTCACCTCTCGACTCTATACGCTCTCCCCCGGCTGCCCTTTCCCCCATCTCGTCGCGCGTGTTCCCTATCACGGGAACGCGTGTGAGCAGTCTCTATAGAGATAGACGTCAACCGCCTCCTTCGCAGCCTCCTTCGCCCCTCTGCAGCTCCGGTCTCCACGTGGCTCCACGTGTATATGACGCGCGCGTTTGGCATGTGCGTACATGTAAATGCAAAGATGCAATTTGAACACAGCCGCAATCACATGATCGCCCTTGTCGTAGTCGTCGACGACGATGACGACGACGACGACGGAGTCCTTTATACTGCATCCAGACCATCCAACCACGTTGTCACTATAACCGCCTAGCAAGCTGCAATCGAGCAGCGTTTGAGAAGCGCAGCGAAAGCTGAGAAGAGAGAGACGGAAATGTGGTAATCGAAAGGAGGAAGGACAGAACGAACGCGAATCGCAAGAGAGAGAATGAGAGAGGATGAGTGAACGAGAAGGGAGGAGAAGAGAGGGTTGACAGGCGGACCGAGGGAGAAACGCCTGTGGCTGGTAGTCGCCGCCGGCGTGGAAATGTATTAGGGCTCGCATAGCTAAACTAATTGGTTAAATCTGTTGGGCCGCATAACTGGGAGGCTAATTGGGTGATTTCCTGACAAATTATATCCACCCCGGCGACTACGCCTACTCGGTAGCGGGACCGTTTGTCACTTGACACTTTGAAGAGGCAAACGTCCAAGAAGCGCGAGAAAAAGGGGAGAAGAAGGGTGATTGGGAGGATGAGGGGAGGGAGAGAACAGAAGAACAGGCCCGAGAGAGTGAAATAGAGAAAAAGCTGATTTCGGCCGTGTGCCAGAAACGTCCGAGTTTATTCGCGCGGCGGAACCGACACGGACTTATAGACTCGTTCGTTTACATTGCACCGCCGCGCCGCCGCCGCGTCTTCTCCTCGTCAAGACACATCGTGCTGGCGCTGCAACGAGCGATCGTACGAGACGTGCGTGCGGTCGAGAACAAATCCAAGAATACAAAACGTGTTCTGTGTGAAAACTAATCAAACTGAAGTTTCTGCTACAAGAGTATTTCAATTTTATATAGTTATACATATATTACATTTGTATAAAAAAAAAAATACAAAAGAAAATAAATCCTTTCATCCTCAATTCATATTGCTAATGAACTCTGCAAACTATTGATTCTTTCTTTTATAAAATATCTTTATCTTATCGAATACGAAGATTAATCTCTCTCTTTGTCTTTCATATCTCTTTGGCGGTCTTCAAAAATCATTTATCTGTTCTGAAATTCAGCATCCGTCCCTGGATGTAGCGAGCCATCTGTACGGTCTCCCTGTCTTTCTATCGTTCTTCGTCGCGACGTCGCGAAAATTATTTTTGCTAACGAGCCGCGATGGGACACGGCCGTAAGTTTCGCGCGAAATTGCGACCGACCGCGCCGTTAATACTCACGCAACGTTTAAAATTCAGACGTCGAGCGTGGCAACGCTGAGACGGAATCGCGTGCAGGTCGAAACTTATGAGGTTGCCTTTGCGCGAACACGCGCGGCTCAACAGCGACAAGACTTTTCGACGCGATGGGATGGGACTTTTCTGACGTTGCCGCAAACGAGCTACTGGAGCGTGAATGGGATAACGAAATCTTATTTTTCGGTCGATTTCAAGTGGGTCGTACTCTAACAGGAATTTAATCACCGAGCGAGTTAAAACTGAAAATTGAAAAATCGTAACCTATGACAGATGCAATTAATCTTTTTATGGCAGATGTATAAAAAAGCAGAGGCTAAATTTATCAACGGAACCATAATTAAAGAAATTTCCTCTCTATTTTTCCTCTGTTTTTTCTCTCTATTTGCCTTTGTAGATTTAGTATGTAAGATCCCTTTTTATTGTTTCTTTTAGAATACGATTTATATTGACTTGTGAACATACAAGAAAAGATATAGATCAAATTAATTTAAAACTAAGCTGCTAAAATTCATAAATATAAAATTAGATATACTTTACATTTTTGTTTGTAAGATGTACTTTATATTTTTGTTGGTAATCTAATCTCGAGTGTCAGTCTCCTAAGAATATTCAGCAAGACTCATACATATGCCAGAAGTCTGGAAAGGGTTAACGTATCCCGGGACTCGCGCCAAAGTCTTAAAGCACTGTTACTTAGTTAATACAAAGACGTGATAAATGTGAAGTATGAATTAGTAGCATATATTTATATATGTATTAATATATACATGTATGTTTCTATCGAGCGAAACTCCTCTTCAACAAATTTCGCAATAGCTTAAACTATTAGCCGTCTATTCGCCATCGCGGCAAGACTCCGCTCGACGTGTATTTCACAGTCGAGCTCAGCCACTTTGCGGTGTTTCCGTCAGAAAGACGTCTGGCACGACATAACGTTTGGCAAAGCCATATACATTTCACGTGCGAGTTCTTCGCGCGAGAGCTGCATATACGATGTCGTTAAGTATGTGGATAGCCGTGAATTTCAGTGCGATACACTGAAACCACACTCGGATCTGCTATTAGACGCGTCATTAATCGCAAATTAAACGGAACAAATTTGCTCAATAGATCACGAGGTAATACGCGAAATAATTTTTGTCTCATATATCTATATCACACATTATGAATGAAAAAAAATGTTTAAAATTTATTACAATGAAAAATGTAAAGAAAGTATGACAGAATTAGATATGTTAAAATATTCAGAATTAATTTCTCAATTTCACATTATTTGACGTCACAAAACTCGATAATTTATTTCGCAATGATAGCCTATTCTGTAAACTCTTCCCAATAAAAATTGCATCAGATCTTACAGCATAAAGATTACGATGATTTAAAAACTAATCTTGGAAAGTCGTATGCCGACAACGATTTAGATTGTAACATTTATGAAAAGTAGGTTCGCTCCATTTATCGGGAACATTCCGCTTCAAATTTCACGGTTATCATTAAACGTGCCATTAATCGCGAATTAAAGCCGCTCCTATAGCGTCGCATGTCGTTCGGTATTAGGCGTTACATGCGAGACACTCGCCTAGTAAAGACGCGTGTACGAACTCGACAATGTAGATGGATCCATACGCGGGATACATATATGTGTCGGCCAAGTGGATCAGATCGCAGTTAGGGAACGCAAAGGAGGGAATCTTTTAATTTGACGCACCATAAAGCACGCCTAGCCGGTTTCCTGGGGATCCCCGGTTTCGGTGACGGTGTGACAGTTGGTACCTACATTGTATATGATATCGCACAGAGTCCCCATGGGAGGTCACGGCTGACACCATGGCGTGTCGTATCGCTGCAATAATAACGCGTAAGCAATACCCGGACTGTGACCCCCGCGTCTAATACGGCATAATATATATACATGTATGTATATATGCCATGCGCGTCCCTTTATACTCTTTTTGCGTGTCTGTATATAATACATATATGTATATTATACGTATACAATTCAACGATATGTATTCGCCGTATATAATGAATTAGTTCGAGAAGCTGTATATGAAAGAATGCCTATAGGGTACTCCGTATGTACGTAATCGTGTATCGGAACTCAATATAGCCGTATAATCACCTCCTTTGGGTCCGATTCGCTCTTTCGCACACGACCCATTCCCAATATACCATCACAGTCGTTTAGAAATTGTCCTCTTCAATGTCGGATTATTCTGAAAGTAGTCCTACTATTATCTTCATTATGTCATAAAATAATTCTTCGATTTTCATCGACATAGCTCTATCTATCGTAATAAAATATCAGATTTTTCTTAATTGATTTTGTATATATATTATGTATGTACATTTTTTTTTCTCCTTTTTTTGTACGAATAAAAGCGGTAGTTTAAACAATAACGTTAAATAAATATCTTTTGTGGACTATGAATCGAACATATCGAACCAGATATATATAATGCAACTATTTTTTTCGAGTGATGCATAATGTATATTTTTTCTCCATTGTGTGTTATGTACTCATTTTCATCATCGTAGGAGAATAACGTATGTTTCACATTTTCAAGCACGAAAGTCACAATACATATGCTTTTACACGTTAGCCAGTGCTGCGCTGACTGTTCGAAACGTTCGACGGTTTAAACGAAATTGCACTTAATAATTTACATTAATCGATGCTCAATAGCCTATAGGAAATGCTAATTGCGGGCGGGGTAATCGCTAACAATTAACGTTCACGCGATTACACAGCCGACGTCATTGTGTTGCTCCGAGTGCGTACACTCGGCGGCGGCGCAACAGCCAGGAGGAAAACTGCGACGTAAATGGGAATTAGTAACGTATTCGCGCGCGAACAAACAGAAACACACATCGTAATGCGCGGCGCTTTCGCGATGCATATAGTTACAAAACGGCCGTAACGTAATGTTGCACTATGTCTGCGAGTTCCTGCAAAATCCGCGAGTTGCATTTACGGAAAATGGATTCATCAGTTTCTAGTTGTTCCTCTACCAGTATGTACATATATATGGAGAGAGTATTACCCAGGCAAATATCTCCCTTAATTTTAATGAGGATTTTATTAATGAATCTGGCGTTGACCTTTCATTTAAAGAATTTTGTGAGAGGTAATTTTTACTCGGCATTTAATGTTACGATATATATATATATATCAATTTAATACTCTGAAAAAAATGAAGACAATTTAAATGCAGATAAAAAGATAAAATTTATTTTTTAGTTGCACCTCAGAAAAAATTTTATCACCGAAAAAAAAATTGCAATAAATTTTTTATATTGGATCGTTTACGATGTCTCGATGTTTTGCCAGTACAAGATTAAGCGTGAAATCTACGACACTCTGTAGAAGTTGCATTTAAAATAGCTTAATCCATTTAATACCGCTAGTAAGCTCGTTAGTACCGCGATTTCACCGGTACTACATTTTTCACGATGAAATATAGATCGAAAACGATAACACCGCAATGCCAACTGCCGTCGTAATTAACGTTATTACCGCGAGATAGGGGAATTAAGATTTTCTGAAATAGAGCTGTCACTGAATATAGTTATCTTTACACCGTCGTCGCTAACGTTACTGAAGTATAACGGCCATATATCATTCTGCTCTCCATGAACCTAATTTCCGCTCGTGTCACGCGTAATTTCGTCTACTTTTTCAAGAGCTCCCCGATCTCTAATTAGGGGTAAACGATCAATCATTCGGTCGGAAGTAAATCAGAGAAGGAGTTTCCTAATGAGATGTGTATCATGAACATGAAACTTATTTCTCTGCGCTTAAACGTCCATTAAATTAACCTTCGCGATAATTGTTACATTTTACTTCGGATTATGTTTTTTAATTAATTCTGTTTCATTAAAGGCAGACGATGTAGGAATTCTTATCGTGTAAATTCTGAATTGGTGATTCATTAATAACTTTGATATTGCATCAGGAAGAATATAATATCATTGCAATAATCAAATATCTTTAGCATGTAATTAATATTGTAACAATTTTAATACTGAGAAATTATGTTTGATACTTTAGGTGACACATATCCATGAATCGATTTACCCTTCATTAAGCAAGTGTCGAAGTTATAAAATACATAATAAAACTTGCGTGTTTGTTACTTTTTTATTTGCAATATTAATTCGGAGAATTGAATATATTTCACGGTACAATGGCTTTTCCGAAATCCGTCTCTAATGTCCGTCATTGTTGACGCTGCAGTTAATCGGAATATCTCGGTAAACGTCGTCCATCGCGACTAAACGTGGTACTAAGGAGTACTCCAGTCATGCGTCGCGGGGTTAAGGAAAGGGCGTGCTGTCCGCATTGATTTACGCCGAGGAGGATGGTAAGCGAGAGAACGAGAGGAGAGTCGTGGAGGTTGCGGCGCGGGGTTGCGAGACGGAAGCGGGAGCGGGGTAGCATCGCAAAGAGAAAGAGAGAGGGAGAAAGATAGACCGGGAGGACCACCGTAGTTGTAGAATCCGAAGCCACGTGATCGGAATAGTCGATTCCGTCCTCCACCTTTCGGCCCTCCGGAGGAACCTTTCCTCCCACATCCGTCCTGCGATTTCAGTCCCACTCCTGTCCTCCAACCCCTGTTCCTCTCTCTGCCTTCTCTCTCTCTCTCTCTCTCTCTCTCTCTCTCTCTCTCTCTCCCTCCCTCTCTCTCCCTACTGTTGTTCGTCTCTACCACCCACATCCAGTCGCGTGGATACGTGGTCGAACCGCCGCGAGGACACCGTATAATTATCGGATGGCAGGTAACTCGAACGTTCTCGCCCGGTTTTAATTGGCCAATTATCGTGGCGCGAATAGATGGTGCCGCCGGTCCAGATAGGCGTGAAACTTTTGGGGTGGCCTGCTCACCGAGCGACACAACGCGACTTTCTGTGACGAATATCTCTTGGCAGGAGGGTGCCAACGCGCGCGCGGATCGGGGGTCCAGGGAGAGGGAGAGGGGGCGGGAATGGAGATGGGGAAGAGTGGGCGGAAGGGAAGGGATAGGGGGTGCATGGGCATCGAGAAGGGAAGATCGAGAGGGTCGCACATCGATATGTATACGAACAGTACCTGTACGTGTGTATTCGTGTGCGGCGGATAGAATCGGGATCAGAATCGGGAGCACGAACGGGCGCAAATTGGTCACGGCTGGTCTGTCCGATCTCTGTGCCAAGCGCCCCGCCACCCTTCATTCCTCATCCCGCTTGGCCGCTCGATCGCTCTATCAACCCCTCTCACCGTTGCATCCTGCCGTCGTGCTCCATGTCTATCTCGCCAACTAGCTAACCTCCCGACTCGCGTACCGTTTCGGAACTATTAGGGATCCCCGCCTAAACCCACATCACTTTGGCAGGTGGAACAATCCACCGGCTCCGGTGTTCACCTGAGCTATAATGATACGAGGGATGCGCTCCAGCACGCTCGATGATCAACAATAGCTCGCGCTACGATCCTCATCAAGGGCGCGTAATCAATACGCGAGATTATTCGTAACAGTTTTATACATTATTACATTTAATCGTTTCTCGAAGACGAGCAACGCGTTTAGAATATCTGGATGGCGTGCATTGATGTACGTTATATTAACGTTCTGAATTATTAATTAAGTTTTAACGTACTACAAATCGGATAGCAAACAGTGCATGCATACGGAATGCACCGCAAATGACCTCGATCCATCGTATGTGACGCTTACCAAGTAGGTACATTAATTTTTTATCTCTTGCGGTAATTAAAATATTGATTTGCAAAATGTCCATGGAACACAGAAGGCACATTAAATTTTTGTAAAAATTTACAGTATTTTCATCGTAAAAATTAAGAAAAATAAAGCTCATTTATTTTTATGTTAATTGTGACTCGTTAGATGTTTTTCTACAATGTTATTCGTCAATCGTTATTCTACAATGATAATTAGTACAAATTATAACTCGCTACAGCTTGAAGAAAAGGGACATATTGCAAACAAAGATTAGTGTCGCGACCGACGTTGACTAAATCGGCCCTAAGTGACGCGAGTGAAACCGCGCTCATTTGTCCGCGGATAATTGACATTAAGTTTAGAATGACGTTTTCAAGAACCGACGTTGTGAAAGCGATATTTTTGTAGACAGAGACGTGCAGTGAATAATTACGTTCGTCCATTTATGTGACAAGATGGAATGAGAAGAGCGTATTTCTACCTTTTTCTGAAGTCGAGAACGCAAAGGGTGTTCCAAAATTGTCTCCGGTTTTTTCAACAGCGTATTTTTCCATTAATTCGGAGCCACACCAGTGAATAGCTTGACAAGTTAATACGCTCGGACGAATAATGCTTCAAGCACGCAAATGAGAAAAGCAGCGACTCTTTAAATTTTACTTTAATGGGATTATTAGAGAATAATCTATGAAAATATTTAATATTAAAGCACTGAGAAAGAGACGATCCAAATTTTCTTAAAAAGAAAATTATACTTCAAATGTGCTTGGATAATATATAAATGAAAAGAATAGCGGAACTTCTGGAGTGCCCGTATGCGCAGTACAAGCTGTGGTATCTATATAATGTATGCGGTTAACAAAATGGTTAGACTTGATGAATAAAAGGTCTATTATCGCATTAACTACGGCACCCACGATAATTAGTTTTCGCTGAACATGATAACACCGCGATACCTTCTCGCGCGGCTCAACTACCGCGCCGTTACTTCACTCGAGCGCTAACCAAATAATGAGACGGTACAATTGAGAATTAGTCGAGGCACGCTTAATCCAATTTGTCATTCAACGTGATCACCGTCATAGTCATAATTTTGTAAAACGGAATATTCGCGTTCGCAAACGTGTATGCTACGTGTATGGACCTATAAAACTATTCCAAGCTCAATCGCATTTTCAATGTCGCGCAAACAAAGTGCTGTCGCGCATGAAACGCTTAGAGCTCGCTACATTATATTGGTCGACCATTTATCACCGAATACAGCACCGGAACAATACAGCGGCAATCATTAAAACTGTCAAAACGCTCCGCTGCCACAATCTTTTGGCAAAGCATATGTATCTTTCCAATCTTGTCAATTTCCTGAAAAGAATCGATCACCGTGACAATAACAGCGTTAGTCTCATCGAATAATTGGTCCCGAGCTAATTCGATGATGATCGAGAGATTAGCGGGGTGACGCTGCAGAGCAAACGATAGAGGTAGAAGAGAAGAGAGAGAGAGAGAGAGAGAGAGAAAAGAAATCAGAGAGAAACGAAAAGAGCTGAAGATCACGAGAGCGACAGAATTGACGAAGCGAGAGAGAGGGAGATCGGTATTGCAGACACATCCGCTGGTTACGTTCGATTGGCTGGCAGGGCGGTAGGCCAGCAATTACCTAAATGGTCGGGTAAACAATATCCGTGCACCGAGTTAAGAGCGGAGCGGTAGCAGCACCAGCACCAAGCTCTCACATCAGTCCGTCCGTTCGTCGGGTCGGTCGGTCGTTTGGTCGTTGTGTGTTGGTCCTGATTTGATCGCTAGTACCATCCACCCGCTCCCTGTTCGTAAAAGGATGGAAGGAAGAGAGAGAGAGAGAGAGAGAGAGAGAGAGAGAGAGAGAAAGAGAGAGAGGGGGAGGGATACCTGCGCTCCGTGTACCACGATTATACTCTCCACCCTATACACAGAGAGATCGCTATACACAACCGTTGAAGAGGCCGCGATGCGCCGCCTCCACCGCCGACAACACACCGACGATCATCGCCAAACCCACCGAGCATTTCGCGAACGCGTAATGCACGCGGCGAGCACGCAATTCCTCCACACGTTTTGCCTTCCTTCCTTTCCGAGCGCAACGAATGATTCCCCGACGCCGCTCGCGTGGATACGGAGGGAAAAGGTGTTCCTTCATCGGCGCCGCTCGACGGAGTCGCTGTGGTGGTTAAATCAAAGACAAACCACTTTAGAGAGAGCCGGTCCGATCGCGGAAAGGGGCGGAGAGACGCGAAAACGAGAAGAGAATGAGGGGGATGATGGAAGTGGTACCTGTGTGTACACAGCCGAGTATCTGACGAAAGCTCACCGCGAGACGTCTGCACGCGACTCATCCGCGTGTTCGTGCCTCGTCCATTCAGCGCTGCGACGCGCTCATGTACATTAACCATTTCATGTGCGTGTTGTACGTGTAAGTGTGTGCAACGATGCGCACGCGACCAATACAGAGGCACGTCGGCCTTCGCGGTGCGATTCTCGGTTACGAGCGTGTTAAAGCACGTGTGTGCGCGCAACCCCTAGCGGAATACCGTCCGGCACGCCCATTGGCGGCTGACGGTAGCTTTTCGAGTAGTACGAGCGGGGTTAACCACGCCCTGTCGAGGCGGAACAAACCCCCGCTTTCGCCGTTCCACTTCTCTTCGCGCAGCGGCTCTCTCCTCGGCGCTAATAATACGCCGATATACCACCAATTCTGCCACCATGGCTCTACGCGGGACTCTCGAGAGTAACTGCCACGGTACGCGCGCCGCGTCGACCTACCAAAGACATTGCTAATCGCGCGCCCATACGGCGAAGGATATCCTAAATCTACCATTTACCTGACCCCAAGTATTGATGACTCGCCACATTTACCTTCGGAAAGTGCAATTTAATTGGATCAAATCTGTCTCGCGTTTGTTAATTGTTTCACTGTTACGACGATTCTAACAAACTAGTGCCGAGATTGACCGTGTCAGGATCAGTGACGTTTAAGGAAGAAAAGTGTGAATGCGTAAGTACAATGGATTTGCGTTGACGTGACCGATCAGTATTGGTTTGCTAAAAGTGGAGTTCGCTGATTAGAGGAATTTACAAACGATTCCACGAGTGATCGTTATAATTTTCGGAGGTAAAGATGAAACGACGCGAAATTAGATAAAAGAAGATCGTCTTTTTACTAGCGGGTAATGTGGAGGATGCAGGAAAGCAGGACCGTGTCACCTTTAGGACCGGTCGTCCTGCAACGAGAGGAAGCCGATATGCGTGCCGGTCTATCGCTGCCGCCGCAGGAAAGGAGACCTGTATTGCTCGTACGCACCGGTGAATCATTTGCGAGATACGACAACGTACGGCAACAACAGTCGCCGTCGAGTCCACCGATTCTACGATCCGTCACTGCCGTCGAGAAAGATCAGTACCATGAAACAGATTTGCACATCAGGGAGAAAAGGTCCAACGACGAAGAGGAGGAAGAGCAGGATGAGGAGGAAGAGGATGAGGCTGAAGACGAGCGAAACACATCGAGCAGAAGGAATGTTGTTGTTGACGAAGAAGACGACGAGGAACAGGAAGAAGAGGAAGAGGAAGAGAGCCAACCCGAAGGACATCGAAACGGCGGCTACCACGAGGACGGAGACATCGAAGTCGACGTATGCCGGGAGGATGCTGACGAGAGTAATCCAAGCAGCCCGGTGGATCTCACGGCACCCTCGTCGAGGGGTGTCGCATCCGAGCAATTTGTTCATCCGTTCGCCAACCGCGTACATTCTTTTACCTGTGTACAAAGTAGTGGCCACGGGCCCGCCGGTCACGGGACACCAGTGTATATATCCGGACACGGCGCTACCGGCTCGGCCGTCATGACGGTGTGTACTTCCGGTGGCGTGGCGCGCACCACCACCGGCACGTCGACAGGTAGCATTACCACGACTGCCACCAGCACGGTACAGACCAACAACAAGCGGTGCCTCGCATTCTCCGTCGAGAATATCCTCGATCCAAACAAATTTACTGGTGGCCGTGTCGTCCACAATCGTGTGCAGCATCGTCGACATCGGCGCGCCGGCAGCGTACACGAAGGTGAATAACGAGCTTTAAGGCTTTCGTCTTTTGTTATCTTCGCGCGGCTTCCTGGAACGTCCGATTGACGTTCTCGATTAGGATCAGAGAGCTGACACGTATCTGCGTCGAAACACACTGTGGCTATCTCAGTAAATGAACTAAGAATAACCGAACGCGTGATGTCTTAAGCGGCGCGTTTCAGTCAGAATTTAATTAGTTGAAACGGAAAGAAAGAGGGAGAGTCAGCCGATAAACTCAAATTATCTTTTCGGAATAAACTTAATCTCTTTGATTTTTATTTGAAAGTAGATATATATATATTAATTACAACATTCTAATATAATTGCAAAGTAATAATATATAATATAACTACTTCGTATGAAATAATATATTCGCGTATTCTTTCATACCACCGTTAAAAAATATATAAATAGACAAAGTTATTTATAATAAAACAAACATTTGTATAATCATTGCATAATAGAAATGTTTTATATATGAGCACTGCTTTTATAATACGGAAACGGAATAATTGTGGATTAATTATCTCAAAAACAAACCTTCACAGGAATTCACACTATCCACTCGGTTGTTTGCAGAAAAAAAATTGATGCTTCCTTCACACTGTTGTCTTTAAAAGTTTCACGCGATCTCTCAAGCGATATTTTTCACGTCCGGCAACTGCGTCTTAGCCCCCTTGATGCTTCACTGGTCCTCTCTTGCTTCTTCCTCGTTCTAACTTTAGACGCTAGAAGGAGGACTTCTTCTCCGACGATCGTGCAATTTTGGGAGCTGTCGGGCTATTTGCGTGTACGACGATACACGAATATTCCAGCAAAAGTGACAACGTAGGGATATTTCACTCGAAACGTGAGAATGAAACTCTTCCAGCGTCTCATTAACGTCGTTTTCGATAATATTAATATGATTGCGAAACGATACGCATAAGCTACAGGTTTCGCAATGCGATAAAGACTAATTTACGTACGAGAGAATATATAATGCACGGAAAAAACGGTTTTGTTGAAAAATCTAAAAATGTTATAGATATAAATATAGATTTAAAAATAATTTTGTTGAACTGTATCAAAATAATTTATATAAGATACTCAAGCTGTTACATTAAATTTTTTTTATTATTGCTCATTATGCTTGAGATTCCAACATAATTATTTTGATGGTCCAATAAAATTATTATCAGATATCTAGCTAAATTTTCAGATAGTATAGCAAAATCGTTCACTTCATGTGCTAAAGTAACATATAATAGTAAATAGTTTTACAAAAGTAATGCTATTACAAGATATATGTTATCCAAGAATTGCATTAACATTGTTCTAAATTTTGTAAGATATGGAATAATTAATATTGGAACTACAATATTTTTGCAAATAATTCATATTTGTTAAAAAAAAACATATTAATTGCAGTGTTTATAAACAATGGAGAATCTTAATTTTCTTTCGTTTAGATTTATATTTTATTCTAATTCCGTGCTAAATATATCCGTTTTGTTGATTTTTTCTTAAAAATTTACAAAATCATCATGTTACCGATATATGTAAATAATTAAGTCGATCTCACCAAATTTTTTGTCTTTCCTTACCCTAACTTTGCAATCGTGAAGAAAAATCATTGGTAGATTGGACCGAGTTCGGTGACCGTTTGCCGCGGAGAATCCCAATTTCACAGTTGACTTTCGAATTTAATGGAGTCTGGCGGGCAAACGAGAGAAGTGGTCCTGCAGGCCGATAAGGGATGGAAGAAGTGTCCCGAAGAAGGGGTGAAGCGAGGCAGAAGCAGCGACGACGGAGGTGGGCAGGGGTAGCAACCGGGCGGCGGCGGCGGCGACGGCGGCGGCCTGTCGGAGCGTGACAAATTGCTCCGCTAATCTGCGTTAACCAGTCCTTGAACCCCGTCATCGTCGTTCCTTTATCCCGGTACGGGACACGGTACGGGTGCTTGCGAAGTCAGCATCTCGATGGACGGTCCAGCCTGTCGTGGCATCTCCCGTCGGTACGGACTAAGAGTATTTTTATCGTCAACCGAAGAAGAAACACAGGCTAGAAAAAAAAGAAAGAAAAAAGAAAGAGGGTGAGAAAAAGACACGCGGGAAACCATGCGCGATGGATCGATCGCAGCCGTCGAAATCGAGATTACACGATTGTCGGCTCATCCATCTTACCGGGATGGTCGCCGCTTCCTATTAAAAGTGCATCAGACCCAGGCCAATCCGTTTCGACTGCCGCCACCGAGATCTCCGCTCCACCCCCGTCACACGGATCCGCCGAATGGAATAATATCGCCGGTTGTTATGATAATCGCGCAGCATCGCGCCGTATCGCACCGCATCGCGCCAAGCCGCCCAGAAAATTGGCTCTCTGCATCACAATGACTTCTCTCTCTCTTTCTCTCTCTCTCTCTCTGCCCCTGCTAGTTGTCGCAGCATCTACGAAAGTCACCCCTCAGAGCACTGCGTTCATGATTAGAGATCCGGGATCTTCCGCTAGATTTCAACGAAATTTATAATTATCTTACGTACGCTTCGGAAAATCCTAAGAGATAGCGCCGATCCATATATCGCTTCTCCCAGCCGCTCACATTCATTATCACGAATGAAAGAATCCTTGTGTGATATTATATACGCGAAGTTTATTAAACTTCTCTGCTTTTTCAATATAATTTTAATCGATCCTATTATACAATAGATCCGATAAACACCATATGCTGTTACATATTCATATTGTCATCGTCGTTCCTTTATCCCGGTACGGGACACGATACGGGTGCTTGCGAAATCAGCATCTTGATGGACGGTCCAGCCTGTCGTGACATCTCCCGTCGGTACGGGCTAAGAGTATTTTTATCGTCAACCGAAGAAGGAACACAGGCTAGAAAAAAAAAAAGAAAAAAGAAAGAGGATGAGAAAAGGACACGCGGGAAACCACACAATATCGTAGCACAATTACGTTAAAGCGTTCAAGTGTTAACTATACATTATTAGAAATCTGCTAACATATATATCGCGGATTCATTGCTGTAATAAGACAGGAACTAACTGTTAGGGATGTTGTTTATTGCGTATTTCCCGATCGTGCCACTTGTCGTTAAACACTGTCATTGTGTTTAATGAGGAAAACCGAAATGAGATAAGTATTCCCGTGTCTGCTGCTTTGTCGCAGCACGCTGCGATCGACTCCCCCTTGTGTACCCTTAACGTATCCCTTAGGGACTTGGCATACATCCCCGATCGCTTCGCTCGCACATAACCCGCCTGATCGTGGTTAATGAAGAAGATCTAAACGATATGAATGGTCCTCCAGCCGGCGATTCTACCGCCATAAAAACGCAATGACAGAAACGCTATCTGCAGTCGTTAATTCCCTGATGAACTCAATTAATTTCACGTCGTCGCAGCTGTCATACTAGGCGACGAAATGACAAATAGATAATGCTTCTCTTGAGAAAACAGTTTCATTATTCTCCCAGATTTACGCTAACAAATGTACATTTCGTCTTTTAGAACAGATCGAAATGTTGTCTTTAATTTAAGATAATATTTCATAATATAACAGTATTAATATTTTTATTAAATCTAACTTCTGTGAAAATAATTAAACACGAATTATATTTAAAGTAATTCAAAGCCACGACAGTTGATTAATTAATCAATTTCCATTTTGAATATGTATTTCGATAATTTCTGCTCATATTTTTCAATTTAAAAACTTAACAATTTTAAGTTACGTTGCATTTATATTATTATCACCTTCTTAATTGAAATTCTGTCGTACTAGATAGAGTACACTGACATTAGAAATGAAAGAGAGAGATTTTGAAAAGAGGCACACTGTCTGACATTATCAAAGACCGCGAAATGCTCCGGCTGACAAAACAGAACGCAATCCTTGATGAAGCGGGCGGATGAGCGACGAAGTGAGAAGAAGGAGAAACAATATAAATTACGCAATTCAATTAGACGCAATCAATCGGCGCCGGTCAGGTATATCTCGATGTGGAGACCGCCGAGTTATACGAGAACGGTATAGTCTGGGGAAGAAGGCCAAAGAGAATCGAGGAGAGAGATAGGGAGATGGGAAAAGGTAGCCGCTTGGCGGCCTGTACGACGGGGCAAGAACGATCGCGCGTTAACGAGATACAAATCCCATTACGGCGTAAACCTTCTCGATCCGTCGCCCCCTACGGACTTCCAACCCCCAGGCACTGTGCTAGGCTGTAGGCTATGGGCCACGAGCCACGCCAATTCGGATAAAGTCCCACTGTCTTCCTCTCGCTTTCTCTCTCGATTTGTCTTGCTTACTCCATTTTTCTCTGTCTCTCTTACTGCCTTCAACGTACTGCCGACGTACCATCCTCGTCACTTTCCGCCTATCGTCTCTATGTCACTCTCTTTTTATCTCTTCCTCTCTGTCTCTCTGGTTTTGTTCGGCGGGCTATCCCCACTCGCGGCACATCCCAGGGGCACCCCAACCCCCACGGACCAGAGCCAGGGAATATCTGTCCCCGGGACATCTGCGTGCTGATTGAATCTCCAATCTCCTCTCTCATTGAGCGAACGATTGGCCGTTTCTCTCTTTCTCCGTTCCCGCTTTTCTCTGTTCCTCTCTGATTCGCACTCAAATCGTTCCGTTCTCGCAAGCTCAATCGGTGTCTCGGCTACGTAACGTAGTTCTTTCGCGAGATGCAAGAAGCAATACTTCCTCGCGCCGAATCGTTTCATAATCAATCACAAATATTCGGAATTCGGTTAAACGTTATTTAGTAAGCGATACAGGTGCATACGAGTCATTAATCGGTCATTAATAGCTAACATTTGCTATACACAATACAAATTATAACAATCTGCATATTACATAATATACAGTATGTATCTATTAATAGAAATCTTCGATTTGAAAACATACTATTGTTTGGTTATATTCTTTATAACTATATTTTTCGTGAGTTTGAACTCGATCTTTATAAATTAAATTTCTTTAAAGAAAAAAAGAAATATCTTTACGTATAAGTGAAATGAATTTCTGTTAAATCTGTAAGAATATCGTACAACGAGAAACGCAACATCTATGCCGCAATTTTGTCCCTCGTATAATCAATCCTCGTCATCTGACACCGACCCCGTATCATCGCTTCTCCCTTCGTAGTTACCTCTCATCCACGTACCACAAAATGATCCCGTGGTTATTACTTTCAGACGGCGACTCGCGAGGCGAATTCGCCTGCGGCAGCGGCCAAGAAGATGAGGAAGGTACACCGGATACCATCATGGAGGAAATGGAAGAAGACGCCGAGGAAGAAGAAGAGGACGAGGAGATTGAAATGCGAGTCGTGGATCAAGATTCTGGGAGCGTCGGACGAGAAAATACAACCAGCGGCGGCACCAACACGACCACGTCGAACTGCAAGAAACGACAATCCTCGTCGTCGTCGTCTACATCGTCGAGCAGCATTCAGGTCCAAAATTGTCAGGGTCAAAACGGACAAAACGGCAGTAGCGGCGGCGGCGGCAACGACAGCGGCGGTGGTGGCGGCGGCGGCGGAGGTGGCGGAAGTAATAGTAATACCAGTGGCAAACCCAGAAGAGCGCGGACAGCCTTCACATATGAACAGTTGGTCAGGCTAGAGAACAAGTTCAAGACGACCAGATACCTGTCCGTGTGCGAGCGTCTGAATCTGGCGCTTGAGCTGCAGCTGACTGAGACCCAGGTGAAGATCTGGTTCCAGAACCGGCGAACCAAATGGAAGAAGCAAAACCCTGGTCTAGACGTAAACAGCCCTACCGTGCCGACGACGCCACCGCATCCGTCGCCGTACGCACCCGCCTTCCTCTTCGCCGCGCATCCTCATCAGCACCCATTGCCACACTCGCATACGCATCCACATCCGCATGCTCATGTACACCACCCGCCGCCAGTGCCGCCGCCGCCGCCCGGATATTACCACCCAGCGGCCCCACCTTACCCGCCGACCGGACCGACCTTCTTCGGCCATCATCTGTCGGCGACTCCTGCTGCGACTGCGTCAGGGCCGCCGCCGACCTCTACGCCTTCCTCCACCGGCCTGGCTCTTTCGTCTCATCCGCATCCGCACACGCATCCGCACGCATAGCGAAATCGGCAATGATACCCTGCATCCTCGCCTTCATAGTCCTCGGCAAGGAAACGATGGGTTTGTGTGAGTACTTCTGGTCGTGGCAAGAAAAGTACCAGGAGCGCAGATTGCGCGCGTTCGTATATATAGAAAAAAATTCTTAGACTTTTATTAGTATCGTCTGAACGTGTTGCCGACAATTCGTTATTTTTCCTGATGATCATTCCTTCTGGTTATCGTGATTGTTTTTTTTTTTTTTATCAAATAGAGAGTATATATCTTTGTCGCTATACATAACAAATGAAATTGACTATTTTGAAAATAACATAAGTTCATAATTTTTACAGATACGGCTAAACAGATATATACATTACAGTATAAAGACAAAAAAAATAATTTCTTTAGATCTTGTTCCACTTGAGTAACATTTATAATTAAGGGATAACGCTTGTGTTTCAACAGTTTTAATTCCTGGACTTATGTTGTTTTCAAAGTACAAATATAGAATACTATTTTGGTGTCAAAATAGTAATTTTTATTCGCTATATTGTATAAGTTTAAAGAGAAAAATGTTGAAACCTAATTAAGTATTGAATTGGACATGAGTGTAATGTTTTCGTTTGTTGGATCGGGGCGCGTAAGCGGCCCCAATGTTATATTTTGCCTTCCCGTTGCGCACGTGGAACGACTCGATAGCATAATCGGTTTACGTAGGGTGACGTTCAAAAAACGAGCGTATCATTCCGGCGCGACACCGGCCAAACATTTAAATTCCATACGTATTTTCCTCCAAACGTCGAGCTTTGGACTAATGGTGAAGAGAACGACGTCTTTTTAAAGCGTACGCACTCGTCTCTCGATAGGCAACCTGACATTTGACAAAAGGTGGAATGGTAGAAGGCAGAACTTCATTAAAAAGTTTTGATTGCTTTCGCTTCTCCAATTTGCACTTGCTTCTCACTTGCGAGTTTTGCGTCGTAAAAATTAAACAGAGACATAAATTATTGTATATCCGGAACTGGCGCAAGTCATTTTTTATCCAATAAAAAAAGAAACCTCGGTACTTTTCTCTAACAAGTAGAGTAACACAAACACCGGCGCCCTTGTCGTTTTCTCACCTTTGTAATATACTCCATTTGTCGCCGCGGTTAAGCGACGGGAGAAACTTGTCTTAAAGGGAAGTAGATTTTATCAGAAACGCTCTTATATATATAGCAGTAAGGTGCGTGCATGTAAATGAATATGCGAGAATGAGTGGGAGAGTGCGACGATTGCGACTGTCGAGAAAAATTAGTGAGCCATGTTTCGTGCTGATCGCAAAAATGAGGCACATCCGGAACGTAGTGATCGTTCCTGTGTAAAATAAAAATCATACGTTACGCTCGTAAAAACCTTCATCCAGTGTATATAGATACAAATAATCCCTCATACGTGTACAAGGATAAAGATCAATTTTGCTTACCACACTCTAATCGACGTGTTGTAACAACAATATCTCGTATTGTTCACATTTCGCGTTTGTCATGGGATAATTCCGCTGCCGGGTGAAGTTACATCTCATTCACTGTCTAATAATCTGTGTTACAACGATTATCGTATCATATCAGCGATATCGGTGCAATGATATCAATTTGAAAGAACATATTTTACATTAAAATTCATTAATTCTTTTTACGAGTAGATGCAAGTATAGATTCATTTCGTGTCATTTAAACAAATTCAACAATTAAACTCGACTCAATTTCAGTTTCTCACAATACATTCGTTGTCACATTGAAATCAAAATCGGTTGATCGTCATCCAACGGTTTTTAATTTTGCGACACATTTGATTTTTACAGCTTCTTAACACAACGTTTCTACGAAAAAAAACCATAAGTTCAATTAAGACGGTGCTGAAAGCCAATTGTTCCGTATCTCTCTAATTCTTTGAATCGTAATTGCTTTCCTACTTTCTCCCTTGCAACTCACCGATTACGTTTCTTTTCTTTATCAGTCCTTAACGAGCGGCGATCGCTCGTCCGTCGTTCTCGATAGCGCGGCCCGTTTAATTTCGGGTACGAAAGAAAAGTGTTTTCTCGTTTTTTTTTTTGCGGAAGATAAAGAGGAAACCTTATAGCGAGGAAGAAAATGAAAAGACGCGTTAAGTGAAGTGAACCATTAGACGACCGGATGCTAGTTCTGCGTTACTCGTTCTTTGAGAGATACAAGTCTTCGTAAAATACGCACCGCGGTCTTCCACGCGTAATTCCGACCGTATAACGCCGCCTTGTTCGCGGCTTCCAGAGGCAGCCACGTTCAATTGACGGAAAATTGCTCGCGCCTTGCTTTGATGCTCAAATTAGAAACTACCCGGCCGGCCTGCACGACACGCGTCGTTGGCGAGCTGACCATGTGCTTATGCGCGTCTTAATTATGAATTGAAGATAAAAGCATCTCTTTACATTAACCGAGGACAAAGTGACTTTTACACTTGTTAAATGTTGTTTAAATGCTTAAACTAATTACTGCGAGAATCCTTTGCTACTGAACCAACTAAGAATGAAACTCAGCAGCCTTCTTAGAAGAATATTTTTTAAGTAAAATTAAAGGTAAGTATTAACTTATACGCGAAAAATTTCAATGTACATTTTTCCATTGTTGATAGATTATTATAAATTAAAAGAAAACATTCGACTATTTAAACAATAGTCACTAGGCAAAATAATTTCTCGCATTTATTCTGATTAGATAAAAAATTTCAATACAATATTTTATAACAACAACAATAAATTTTATATCCAGAACAACAAAAAGATTGGACGAACTTTGAAATCTACTCATTCCTTCGTTCTTATCTTGACTCTTTTGTCGGATCTTCTGTCGAAACGACGGTGTTATCGAAGCAGGAGTCAGAAGGAAGTTAAATCGACGCGAACGGGAATACGAAAGAAAACCAACGGGAGAGAAGACAGATCTGAGAGGAAGGAGAGAAGATGATCCGAGGGCGCTCGAAAAGGTAGGAGTGGCTGTCGGTCGGTCGCCGGACGATTCTCTCGAATTAATTCTTAGGGGTGGATTTGGGAAAGGGGCTGCCGCCGACGCCGCCGCCTCTGAGGGGTGTGAGTAGAGTGAGTGGACCGTGAAATAACCAACCCCCGCGCGACACTCGCACCCCCCGAACGTTTCGAACATCGACAGTGGCGTAACTTCGTTATAGGTTTCTGCGTGCCACGAAAGACTTTTTTTCTGAGAATTCTTCAGTCGACGTAAGAAACACTTACATAATTAATGATAAACACCGCGCTCATTACGCTGACCAAGCGTTATGCTTCTAAGTGGCTATATGTTTGGCAAATTTATTTCCTCTGCTTGAACATCGTTGCGAAAATTATCTTAATCGGTCTTAATCTAGCTATTAATTAACTCCATGTTCAGTTTACAGAGATCTCTTAATTGTTGCTGCAATTATTCTAAAATATTTATGGAATATCGCGCTACAGGCATATCTTACATAACGTATCTTACATAACGTATTAACATCTTTTATTAACTTCCATTTAGTCGTTATTGCCTCGATATAAATAGTAAATATTGCGAAATTATACGACAAAAATATAAATCTTCTTTAGAACATTCAACAATGTTTTAATTAAAATTCTATCAAGGTAAAAAAGATTTGAAAAATAATAGTAGAATGAAATCTTTTCATTCCTTCGTACTATGAAGTCTTGTATTTTATGGATTATTCTAGAGAGTATATATATTTTGGTGAATCGGACGTGTTAATTCGTGCGATATCATCACGCGGTAGAGAAATAACTCCAATCTGAACCGAGCTGCGTTTTCGTAGCGTGAACGTTGACGGGTTAAACAGAGTTGTACCGCTCTGTGTTCTCGGATTCGTATGGGGATTACTCGCTTGAGGTCGTGACACCGCACGCATCGAGAGCAGCAAGGCACGCCACTGCAGTCAGTTCATTCCAGTTAAGCGTGTAATAGTTCAATAGCTATCGCAGTCGTGTCTACGAATACGCCGAGACTCACTACTGCGTATCCCCATACGTATAAATGCGTATTTGTATGAGCGTTTAATCGCGTATTACACCCTGCGGTATTTTTCTATGCTTTTCGCCCCTTCCCATCGCTGTCGAAGCGAGGAAAATATCATCGTGATCGACGGAATTAATTTCGATTTTCTTAGATACTGAATACTCGCAAAACGCGTACGACGATACTTAGTAAATTTTCAGTAAATGAAATTATAGTATATCGTCTTGTGTAAGTCAGATTTTTTCATTTACGCTTCTATTTATTTTAACATTTTAACGGTTCTTTTTCTAACAAATCATATTACAAAATGTCTTACAGCATTTTTCTTCTTAAAAGTTTCAATAGTTTTATAATCACATTCATATACTTCATACATTTTATAAAATATAAAAACGTTGAATATTCACATTTTTTATAATTATTGAACTTGAAGAATTTGGAGCAAATTTCTTTCTAGAAAAATTTCTTTTGTGATAAATATTCTTACCTTGATTTTTGTATGTAGTACTTTGAGCGTATGTCTGCTTAAGATCTTCCTCCCCCAATTCTCGCGCGACGCTTTCATGCACTTTAGCTTAACCGGGAGATAAAAGCCGCTTCTTACCGGAACGCCTCGATACGCTTCCTTCCATCAAGTATTCGTAGTTAAATCGGATAGCAGGCCGCGTAGACGAACAAAAGCCTCGACGAATCGATCGATCGGCGGTGAGCCGTTATCTTTCACGTCCGCGCTTCTCTCTTTCCTTGTTCAGCTTCTGTCACTTTGTTTTCTGCCATCGTCACTGGAACGTCTCTCGATTATCCGAGGTATCATGGTTACAACGTATGTACGCGCGTCAGGGGAGATCGACGATTATGAGCTCGTCAACTCGCCTTTTCGCGCACCGTTAGTTTCTCATCGGTTCACCTTCACGTCACGCTTGTTACAGCTAAATAGGATTTATAGAACTAGACTGTTCTCTCTATCTCTTTCAATAATATTTTTTTATTTAATGCTTATT